AAAAAATTTACAAGCTTTCAAACTCACAAAAATTGGATTTTTAAAATCAAGCATCTTAATAGTTTACTCCCAACAATACAAATCCTAAAACAGAAAAAACAAGATTTATATACAAATGATATTTGCAAAATCTGCTTCTGAGAATGTAAGACACAGGACCACTTAGCCAAATGTACTGAGTTGCAACTAACTTGAAACAAGCTTGAAGAAGAAGCCTGCTTAGCTATCATTAACAAGGCAGAAAAAAAAAAAGCAAATTTGAAAATATACAATAAATAGAAAATAGCAGAATTAGTGTTTGGCAAAAGTCTTGATGAAAAAATCTCAGCTAGGAAAGAACTAATAAGAGGTCTGGTATCAAAGCAAAGAGTTCAAAAGGTTAGTTTATTATTAGAAAAAGAAGTAGAAAAGACCTTTAGAATCCTGCAAGCCTTTATTAATAGCTTTTTACAACAGTTTTATAAGCTTATTTAGAATTCTTGATGTGAAAAGGTCATAGAATGAGAAAAGAAAGAAGATATAACGAAGGGAAAGAAAATAGAAAACACAAAAAAAAAAAAAGCAAAGAGGCAGAGGAACAAGACAAAGAAAATAGAGACCTACCAAGCAGTACAAAAAAGAAAGATATCAGAAAAACCAAGGTTAGCTACAAAGAAAAACTTAACACAGTCAAGGAAAAAGAAAATCTAACCAGAGAATAGGTCTTGCAGGAAACCAAACTGGCATGGTCCTCACTGGTTAAGCCGAAAGGGTTTTTTAAACATGCTTGACATGGCAAACAATAGCCAATTAATAACCAAGAGAGGTACTTTGATAGTACAAAATTTTTAAAAAAGTTAAGAATCCTAAAGAAAATAAATTATTGTTTTGGCAGGTCACACTGAGTAAATATTTGGGAAGTTTTTTTTAAATTAGAGCAATACAAAATATATATGTATAATAGTCAAATAATAGTTCCAATAAATAAAAACAAGACTGCTTAAGAAAACAAAAAAAAAAAAATTAATAAATATTAAAAAATATATATATATTTTTTTTAATTTTTTGATAGTCTTGCCAAAGCTCAAATACAGCTTTATTTATTTAATCAATAACAGTAAACCATTACAATTAAACTAAGTTTTCAAATTGCAAGCTTGACATCTACCAGCTGTGTAGAACATGCTCATTAGCAACTTGTCGCACCATCTTGTATACAAGTTGGATAGACCTTGTCAGCCCGTCGAGAACTAATTCCTTTAATTCTTCTTTTTTTACTGAGAGCAAAAGAAAGTAGTGATTTTATACCAAACTACAAAACCACCGATTATTAAAACAAAAAAGAACTATATCTACTAAAAAAAAACAAAATAAAAGAAAGAGAAATTTTAAAGGAAACAACAAAGAGAAAAAAAGAATATGTAAAAAAAAAAAAACAAAGAGAAAAACCTTAAAAGCCAACAAGATGAGGTACTACCTCTATTAAAAAGCAACCAAGCAACCCGAAAGTTGCCACGAACAAGGAAATACACTATTATAATTTATGTCAAGTTAAAGTAAAAATTATATACAACTACAACTGTTGCATATCTCAATTATAAAGCCAAGCCTTAATATATACCTTCCAACTAACAACCAAATCCAGATACCTCTTTTAACCCGAGACCCGATCCAAGTTGCATAGAGAACTACCTACTACCCGATCTAAGTCATATGAAGTAATACTATATCCTTTGATAAACAAGATATATCAGTTGTAATATACCAAGTCTGTCCAGATTTGGATGTAAACAATGCTGATCTTTTGGAAAAAGTAAGCCAAATCCTCACTTTTTGTCAAAAATCTTAAAAAAATTGCAGGAAGTCGGAAATAAGTAATAGGGATGCTACTTGAAATAGAAAAAAGGAGTGCGGCTTAAGAGCAACATAAAAATTTGTTGTTTTTCCTGTATTCTTCTTTGAAGTAACAGTCTAAAAGCTTTGTTAATGAAGTTGGGCTTTATTATCCACCCTCCACCAAGATTTTTATACAAGGACACTGCCTGCTAGTTATCTTATATAATAATGCTCTTGGCTTGTATACCAAATGTCCTTTTTAGAAAAGTCTCCGTAGTAGTAAGTTAACCTCTAGACAAACCACCGTTAGGCCACATCTCTCCAACAAATTTTTCTGTTTTTCTGTTAGTAAGAATTTCGATTCAAGTGATTGTCAAAAAGAGTTTACTTTAGCCTAATATTAAAAAAATATTAATAAATATTAATAAATATTAAGAAATATTAAGAAACATTAAGAAATATATAGTAAATCTATGAGAGGTGTGGTGTCTTAGTGAAGTGGTCTAGTTGTCACCTTCTCCAAATGGTAATAGTATATTCCTCAAGGTTCGAATCCCAGGGAAGATGCTTTCAAAAATAGCGAAAATAGAATATGTCAGACGACGATCTCTATTTAGGTTGGCCTATGGATGATTTAGTGATTTGGTGTCTGAGGCACCGGTAAAAGGGATTCCGGGTGGCTGTAATCTGTGGGCTGTGCATAGCACGGGTCACAGGACCGGAGATCAAAGCCCATTTGGGAAGTCCCGAGTTTGGAGGTAGCAGTGATCTTCGACGGTACTACATGAAGGCTGAATTTGAACCGGGGCCTGAGATTGGAGAACCGAGCGATCAGATCCTTTAGTGGGGGGACACACCAGCTGAACCGCTAGTTTAGACGCACCGGAGGAAAAGGCCATATGCTCCGAAAGTATAGACCAAGGGGAGGGCATCCTTCAGGCACCTAAAGCCTGGACAGACCAACCCTTCTGGATTGCCGGCTGGAAGTTAGGGATGGACTGATAAAGAATCTGGGTAAAGAGACGGCTTGAATGTGGGTATTGGGGTTGTTGTAAACCAATACAAGGGCAGAAGTATGTAATGGAAGACTAATTAGAAAGGTTATGCTTAAGATATGGATTGTGTTACAGCAGTACCCAAAAAGGTGGCATGAAATACGAACACAATAGCAGCAGACAATATATACTAATTGGGAAGAAATTACCGAACATGCAGGTGAATACACATGTGGGATGTGGACCACTCTGTTAGGTTTACCTCGTAGATAGATTAGCCTCATTGGGGTTAGTAAGTTCTAAGGTGGATGCAAAATCAGATTAGGCAATAGTGAACTATCTATATATAGTAAGCTATGTCTCAGGTTAGGTAGTATCCATTGGTTTGGAAGTAGGTTATGGTTAGAGAGTTTAAATAGGTACCCCCTAGTTGGGGTACAGGTACAGCAGATAGTATAGAACCTTCGGACGGACTACTTAAATTAGGCACTCAAAAGGTGCACTTGTGGCTATATATACCCTTACTGTAATTAAAAAACAAAACTATCTAATAAAACATTCCCAGGCCAAAGAGGTCACCTTAATACCAAAAAAAAAATAAATAAATAAAACTTGACAAGAAATATAAAAAAGGCTCCAGATATCAAATTAGCTTTTATTACACGAATAGATGCTAATATTAAAAAAGTTAGATACGGTCAAGAATTTATCAATTGAACTAAAAATTCAACTAAAAATTCTATTAAAGTCGAGATTCCAAAAAATCAAGACTTAATTAATATATATCAAAAATGCATTAAAAATTATGATCAACATAATCAAAGCTCACAGTAGATTTAACAATTAAAGATTCTCTAGAATCTTTATTGTCTATGGCAAATGCTTTTGAGTTATCCAACTAGTCAACAATGCAAACATCGAATTATAGAATCAAAGGACAATTTAACTTATTGAATCTTATAAATACAACCTGAATGTGATAAAAAAGATTTGGGACATGCTAAGAATGATCGGAACAATTAGAACGATCAGAACAATAAGATGCTTAACTTTATTAAAAATGATTTGCTGCATGCATATCGACAAAAAAAGTTAGAAATTTATAGACAAAGCCATAATTACTATTGTATATACAGTACTCTGAAAAATTCTAGCAATAGCGTCAAGATAATATTCTTCTGTCATAAGCAGTTTCGTCTGAAAAAACTAGCTTGGTGTATACTAAGACATTCGTAAAATGAATTGTTTTTATTGACTTCATTTCTTTCTTTTGAGAGTTTTGAAATCTATAAAATTAAAATTGTTAAAAGTTTATAAAATAAAAATATGAATAAATATATGAAATATTACCTTTTTGTGTGTATATCCAAGTTGTAAGACTAATGTTATGTCCCAACCAAAGTTCTATCTCAGATTGTAATTCATACAAGTACCAGTCAGGTTTTTCTTTTATTAAAACTTAAGATAATTTATATCATTCATATTTAAGAACGTGGTTTTCCCAAAAGTGATGGAAGTTTTTAAATACAACCATATATCTTTGAAAATGTACAAGAACCCAACTTATAGGTATACATGGGTGTCTAAATCATTTTGCTTATGTTGTAAATTTAAATGGCTAAATTATTTTAGATAGTCTAATATCGCAAATAATTTAGAGTGTCGAAAATAATTTAGGTTGCAAAAATTATTTTAAATATTAATTATATTGAATATTAAAGTTTTTACTGTAACTTTTATGTTTTAGTATATTAAAAGTCAATTACTGAAAATACACATTATAAAATTTTAGCTGTAATGGTAAAACAATGTTTATATACTATATAATATTTATATGTATATTGTAATAAATGAATAAACAAGATAAATGAATATAAAATATATAAATAAAGTATGCCACTAGTGTCTAAAACCTCTTGAGCAAAAAAAAAACTCCAGGTCTCATAACATGAGGAAAAAAAAAACATAAAACAGCACATGCAATAATTCCAGGTCTCATGACACTGAAAAAAAGTACATATTATGAAGCAATATTACAACAATAATTGCAGGTTCTACAATACTAGAAAAAAAGTTCATATCATATATAATACTTAACATATAATACTTAACATATAATACTTAACATATAATACTTAACATATAATACTAAAAATGTTTAAAGTTAAAAACTAAAAAACTTATACCCTTTTACTCATTAGTTACAGATGCAATAACTTCCTCAATATCATAATTAAATTCATCACCCTCAGGTTCCGGATTATTATTAGTTTTTTCATTTGTTTTTTCATTTGTTCTTTCATCCGAAAATGTACTAAAATCAAATACTTCTTTGATATCTAAATTTTCATCACTTAATTGTAAAAGATCATCTAAGTCTTCAGTATCAGAAATATAATCAGCATCAAGTTCTTCATCTTCAAAACTATAATTGAACATATCATCGAACTCAACTATATTTGCATAATTCTTCATAACTTGCTCAAATTCCAACTTAGAAATTGTATAATTAATATAGTTAAGTTCATTTTGAGCATTAGCTATGTAATATGTATGTAATTTGGCAATATTTGATACTTTTTCTACTGTAAAATATAAATTTAATAAATTATTTTATTATATTTAATATAATAATAATTATATATACCTGCTTCGCCTTTTTTGTATAATCCAGCTTAAAACTGAAAATATATGCTCACAATTTGCACTATGTGGAATAATTGCTAATAAGTGCAATGCAAGTTTTTGCAAATAATGATTTGGAGCTTTACATTCATGCCACCAAGTTTGTGCAGATTCAACTTCTTCTACAAAAGTATAATGATATGGTGGCTCAAATGCATCATATTTTTTAATTTGTGTTGCTAATACATTTGCACTTGCTAATTTACTACCAATTTTTTTTCTAAATTTTAAGAGCTATATATAAAACTTGATGAAATTCCGAATCTTTTATACCTTTTTCTCGATATTTTGGATGGAGAAAATATGCAAAAGGTAAAATTTTATATCAAATTCTTTCTAATATTTATTATAAATTTGAGTACACTGTCTACAAAATTCAATATGTTCAAGTAAATCATTTCTTTTAAGTATATTAATTGCTATTGCTATTTCAACAAGAAATAAAAAAATATCTGCAGTTGTTGTGGCTTTAGATTCAATTATTTTTTGCAGATAACAAAACTCTTAGCATTTGCTTAAAATTGCTGATCATGTATAAAGTTTTGTAATTCAGATAACATAGCAATTTAAGATCTAAAAATAATAATTATTTAATTATTTAATTTAATATATCATAAAATTTTAAATATAAATATATATATATATTAAATAAATAATAATAATTACTTGTTTAAGACAAATTTCTAAATTAAGAACTGATTGTATACAATCATATGTGAATGACTATCATGTACAAACAGAGCTTTTTAATTCTCCTTTATTTATTATAAAATTAACTATTTCATTATGCAAAATTGCTTCAGCTCAATGAGATGTATGAAAATATATTACAAATGATTAATATTGCTTTAATACTTTTTCCAAATAAGGTTTTGCAAACTATATCATTACAAATTAATTGAATATGATGCACAATGTATCAAATTGGTAATATTCCAGAATATTTATCTAAAATATACTTTTTTGCAAGTGATATCACTGAAGCACCATCAGATACAATAGTGCCAAATTTAGTAACACCAATATCTACTAAAACTTTTTCAATTTTATTAGCTGTAAATAGTGCAGTATATGACTTATGAGAATAATCTTTAATAGAATATACATATTGCTTTACTAGCTGTTACAATTACAAAGACAAAATAAGAGTATCCATGATTACTTGTCCAACTATCCAAGGCTAATAATATAAAATATTAATATCATATAATAAATAATTTAACAAATAAATAAATAATATATACCTAATGTAAGATTGTTTTCTTTTTGAAGTTCTTTCTCAATTGCAACTATAATATGTGCTGTTTCATAGTTAAGCCAATTATTGCTTAAAGCTTTTTGATCAGGTGGTTTATATGAAACATATAAATTCCGACAAAAATCTAAAAAAAAGGACTTTCGATAATCCAAAAAGGAATTTCACAGCATATAAAAAATTGTGTCAATGCTCTATGACATAATTGTTCTTGACTAGTATTCATTGTATTAACACTTTGAAATTTACTATTTATTTGTGGTTGTGAACCACTAGCAATATCATGTACAATATTTTTTCTTTTATTTGGTGCTGGAAAATTTCGTAAGCAATCTTGTTTAATATCAAGTGGAACACTTTGACAAATTAGAGCTATATGTGTATTCATATTTAGATCTGATGCATGTAAATTTCCATCATTACAATAATTGCATTTCCAACCTCTATGACCACTTTGTTGATAATAAATTTCTGTAAAATGACTACCCCAAAGTGGATTTTTAGATCATTCTCTTTTATTTTTTTTGCTAGTATAAACAGTATAATCTAATTTGTCACCTTCTAATAGTGAATTTACTATACTAGGACCTGAATCTTCCATAATTTAAATTACAAGTATAATGAAAATTATTGTTATAAAAATTTTACAAGTATTTATTGTTATATTTATATCAAATATCAATATAGTTTTAGCAAAGTATCTCTTAAGTCAAAATATTAGAAAAACTGCATAATTCGTGTTTTTAGTTCTTCATCTAGTATGGTGTTAACAATGCACTATGACATGAGGAATTAAAACTTTAGACAATATAATAAAGAAAAATTGGTTTGATTCAAACAGGTTTGTTATAAACAAATTTTATATTCAAGTAGCATTCTATGTTCAATTCATATTGGTAATCTATTTTGCATTAGATGATTCTATTATATCATTATTATTATATATTGTAAATTAATAATTTAAACTTGTAAAAGAACTTCAAAATTCTAGTTAGATATCGATATTGATAAAAACTTGTTAAAAATCTAGTTGATTTATCAATTAAATAATTCTAACTAGAGAAGTGCAAAATAAATATTTATCTTGCATAAAATTATTTTATATATTGCATGAGAATATATAATATGAGAAATGTATATTAAGTTTATTGCGCAAGAAGTACAATTCTAGTTTAAACACAAAAAAATTACTTAGCACTTAAGTTATTATATGTATATACAAGAGTAAGTGGGGCGCTGACGGCGCCTTTTAGATATCATGTTTTTGATTTCAAAATAATCATATGCTCGCCAATAGTGAAAGTTTGATCCAAATTAGAGAGCTTCTAATAAACTTTTAAGGAAAGATTGAAGAATTTCTCAGGTATAATGTCTCTATGCCATAAAGAACAATTTTGACTGATAAATTTTGAATATTTTATTTGGTTAATTTACTGGTTAAATTAAAAAGAGCAAGAATACAATACAAATTCATGTGGTTAAGTTCAAATTAGTTTGCATTAGAAGAGTTATTGTAATTTTTATAATTATAAGTTACTGTAAAATTTTGTTACAGAGCTTACTTGCTATTTCGGTATGGTTAAGTTTGCTTGCACTATTAGAATTATTGTAACTCTACTATGAGATACTTAAAAAATTCTGTTACAAAACTTACTATTTTGGTGATCACAGTATTAGTTAAGGTTGAGGTAGTTTGCAAATTATCGTTGATTTCATCGTCAGAGTTACTATTCCATTTAATAGTTCACTATTCACACCCCAATCGATAATATTACTTACATATGTGTCCCTATAAAAAAAATTAAAGAACGCAAATTATGATCAGATTATTGTTTTTTTAAATGAACATTTTTATAATAAAAACTTATATTTAAGCCTTTTAAATTCCTGTTATAATTTTTTTTTCTGCGTAAAATTATAATCAGGAAATCTAAAATATTCAAGAAATTTCAAAATATTTGTGAGTTTAAGAAGGTTTTAAATATAGGTTCTTATTACGAAAAATGCTCATTTTTTTAAAATAATAATCTAAATAGAGTGAAAAACATTGTAAATACAAATGACAATTGAATTATTATAATACTGAATGTCATAGTTTAAATTGATTACGAATATATAATGTTAATTATTGTAATATCGAAATAATTACAACGTATTTGATCATACTTGCCAAATTTGAATTAGCATTTCCAAAAACCAGATAAATGTAAATTTCTCACGACATGTGATTTGTGACTATTTATATTATCTCATTTTCACATGTGCAAAATAATTAGTAAAAATGTAAGTGATACTCATGACCAACGATAATTTTATAATAAGAGGATATACAACATATCAGGTAATATTTTTATTTATTAAGCATGTTAAGAACAAATTAAATTTGATTAATTGTTTTAGTAAATCATATGATACATATTCTTACAGTCCTAATTTAGGAAGTGGTAATTATAAGAAGCCAAATTTAGTCATGATAAGAAATCATGTTATAGTACGTACATATTAAGTAATGAATTAGAACTGATTGATTATTTTTAAGTAACAGGTTTTTATCAAGACTATTAATAAATAAACTTGGCTAGAATTAGAGCTTTTTGAAAATCATATCTTCATTATAATGTTATTTGTGAATAGTTTTTAAATATAATAATAACAAAAAGGACTATCACTCATATACAAAAATTCACACTTTAAATATTTCAAAAATACTTTATTGCTCATTATTTTACTATATAAATATAGTTTTGTCTCTTAAGTAAACTTGTTGCTTCCCTCCTACTACACATAATATCTAAATATTACTGCTAAATCTTGCAAAGTCGTCAAGTTAAAACCTTTTGGCCTGCTTTTGTATTTTACTCAAAATACCTACCAAACAGCCTTCTTAACATATTGTTTAAGCTTAGAAAAAGTTAAAAAGCTCATAGTTTCCGTCATAACAAGCTATAGTACAAGTCTGTAGCTTTAAATCTGACGGAGCTATATCCAAATTACTGCTTTAACTCCCTACAATTCTTTTTTTATTTTTTATTTTTTTTTCCTAAAACATTTTGGCAAAAACCACTTAGACATTTTCCATGTAACCTCAATTTGTGTCACCCACATTTTCAAATACCTCAATTCTAGTGGTTCTTCCCATTTACACTATTTTTAAGTTTTATTACACAAATTAACTATTTATATCTTTGTATTCTTTTTATTTTTAATTTAGCAACGTCATCCAAATTTCACGGGGCATACTTGGGTTATAAGTAACATTTGTGTAACACGTGACTTGCATGTAATCTGCACGTGATTTGTGTAACCTACCTTGCTTTTGTAATCTACATTACACAAAACAAATTTTATATCATTTCGAAGCTCTCTCCATCCTCTACAATTATTATTGTCCTATGACACCTAATTTAATTTTAACTTAATATTTAAGTTAAAAACAGCTCAAATGCCTACTCTTAGTACCAAACAACCTGATACTATCAATCTTGACGTCTTTTTATCTCAGTATCCCAATCGTTTTGGTATTTGAATCTATGAGGATAGATCTAATAGTTAGACTTATGAATAAAGGTGTCACTTCTACTAAATGCCCAACTCAGCTATATAGTCAAAAATACCTACTTCTTTCAAGCTCCTCATACTGCCGCTATCGTAACTTGCTTCTGCAAAAAATATCATACCAAATTTATCTCTGTTGTTCAACCTTCCTTGTCTAAGTTACCTATTACTTCTACTTACCCTTTCATTAATCAATCCCAAAGCCAACACTCACCCCATAACCCAACTCAATGCCAATACTTATATACTATTTGTCAATAGCCTATTCTATATACCTTTACACCAGACCTTGAACTCCATTCACTTGACAAAAACGCTCTATTCAAAGATAACCAACCATTCCACAAAGCATGTCTGCACTTTGAATTACCTGTTTCTTCACTTATACCAACTACTCCTACTTTCACTATTCATTCTAAACTACTTACCTCTTTCAATACTCCAGTATCCCAATACCAACCACCTACTCAAACCACTCCTATCACTTCCCAACCCTCTACAACTCATACTGATCAACCTCTACAAGCCTCAACTGCTCAAACTTCTATTACTCAGCCAAATCAAACAAATTCTTCCCAACCTTCCACTCCCTGTCCTCGATCTCTTTTACTTCCCTATCAACCTGACCAATCTCCTAAACCTGGTTTTCTAAGTCATTTTGCTTCTGTCTTACTCTTTTCTGTATCTGAATATATCTATAGTTCTCCTACTCAAAACCCTTTATGTCCCTTAACACCTATTAACAACGTTCTCAAACTTGATTCTGTTACCCATGATACTTCTACTAACTCTTCTACTCTAACTACTAATCAAACCTCTTCTCCCTCAAATATTCCAGACTTTCTTGATAATGAAGCTTCTAGCTTTGTTGCAAACATAATAGATATCAACACTCCTATCAGTTAATCTATATCTAACCCTCCTCCTACTCAACCAATTACCATTACTCAACCTTCTATTCAATATATGGCCTCATCCTCATCTTTACCTCCTCATTCTCAAGCTCATCAACTTCTGAATCTATATCTGTCCTCTTCTACCTCTCAACCAACTTACTCTTCAATTACTCAAAGTTCTACACCTATAAACAAACAACCTCAAGATCAAATCTACTCTTCTGTACTTCAACAAAAATCTAACTCCCCACTTTCTAACCAACCTACTTTCCATCCTAAACAAAATCCTTCTTTCAACTAGATTTATAATTTTCCTATAACTGATACCATGAAACCTAACACCAAACTTCAAACCAATTTCTCTCTAAAACTTTTTACATTCTTCAAAACCCACCTTCACAATTTCTACTCTGGTAGTACTCTTAAAGAGGCAACATCTAACAACAAGCTACCTCTCAAAGCTAGCTTCTATCACATTATTCGTGTGATAGCTAGTGCACGTCCTGACTTCCTTATTGATTATATCTATAAGATTAATCTCTCTATTGATCAAGATGCTCCTATTTCTTTTTATATTCTTGAAGATACTTTTAAAAAAATCTTTCTCAAATTTACTACAATTCTTTTCACCAAACTTAATTATGCAGAAATCTTTATATCTCCTGTTACTGTCCTCCTATACAATACTGCAAATCGATTACAATTTTGCCTCAACCTAGCTTGTCTGCATCTATACCTCTCTGACAACTATTAAGCTATTAATTACAACAAATTTGCCAAAGATTTCAAGTTTCGTCCTAAAAACTTTAAATTTACCTCTTCTGTCATTTTCTACAATAAGAATGACAAATATCTTACTATTAAATCAGACAACAGATTTAATGTACAATTACTTTTCAATATTTCTAAAACTCTCTTTCTTGATATATTTTCTATTCTATCCCTTAAAAATTCTTTCGATCACTTTAATACCTGGTTTGAAAATGGTTTTCCTTCATATAGTAAACAATTCCCTACTATTTCCAACAAAGAAGATACTAAACTTTTTCTTCAATCACAAATTAGAAAACAGTTCATAACAAACTTAAACTCTTACTTCCCTCAGATATTTCCTTCTTCAAACCTTATAATTTTAAGATAGATGTAATGA